AGGGAGGGAGGGAAAGAGAGAGAGAGAGGGAAAGAGAGGACGTTTTGTTGACTGGAAGTGGCACGAGCCTGCCTTTCCTCCCCCTCGCTGACACTAAAGGTGCGCGCGCGCGAGCAGCACGAGCGAGTGACGCGTCTGTCTGCCCCACGGGGTTTAAAACCCGCCTGTACGTCAGAATCCCGTTTTACCCTAACCCGGTAATCTGATTTGCCCCGACACACAAAACCTGAGCTCAGAATGACCTGCTGCTGCTGCTGCTGCTGCTAACGTTACTAACGTTACTAACTGTTACTTCTGCGGGGTTTTGGTGACCGTGGCAACGCGATGTAGCGCGAGCGTTTGGGAGAGGAGAAGCTGCCGGATGACGCAGTTTTAAAAATGTAACGGCTGGCAGTTAACGACAGATGTCCACTAACCGCCGTGCTTTTATTTTGGCAGTGCCTCCGACTATGTGAAGAATGTCTGGCAAAAAAAAACAAAAACATTTGTGATTTTATTCTTGAACATTTTAGTGAAGGTTTGGAAGATTGTGTTGTTTGGTGTACAGAAGAAAAAACATGATTAAAGCTGCAGTAGGTAAGTTTTATAAGAAATATTTTTTGTCATTGTTGCTGATATTTTTCACTATATCCTGACAGTAGTAGATGAGACAGATAATCTGTGAAAAAATCTGATTCCTCTGGCTCTTTCTAGTGCTCCTAATGGTATTTGCGAGGATCCACCGGGCCTGGACGGAAACAACCAATGGGAGTGGAGAAAGACATAAATATTTGGAAACAAGTGTGAACCTATCCTGACTCACCCATTGGTTTTGAAGCCTCGAGTTTGGCGTCACAGTTGTTGCCGTGACAGTTCGTACTGCGAGTTGACACACACAATCTCGTATTACAGCTACACAGTACACTAAAATGTGTTATATTTTAGGTGAGAAATAGGCATCGCAGTAACTGATCTGAGTTTCGGTGCGTTGGACGGACTCACAGAGAATGACCTGTCAATCACGAGGTCGCCACGCCAAAAAGCATACCTCGCTTTATCGTCTTTTTTACCATAAATGGGACCATAATTTACTAAATGAACATCATAATGTATGAAAGAAGACTTGAAACTAGTAGTTGAGACCATAAACTCATTAGGAAACTGTTTACTGAGCTAATAAATCAAATGAGAAGTCGGGTCATTTCTTCATTAGAGTGTATGGTATCGGTGTGTTATTGCAGCCGATGGAGCGCCCCCTGCTGGCCATTACATAGAAAGCAAGTTTAAGACATTTCTGTGTTGGCTTCACTTTACAGACCCAGATCTCTTGTCTATTATACAGCCGGTGGTTGGGGAGATTTAAGATAGTTGATTGTTAAATATGAATGAGGCTCAACAATAAATTATCTTTCTTGGCTCTGATTGTTTTTGTTCAGGCCCAGTGGATTCTTGCAAATGCCATTCGGTGCGCTAATACGAGCCAGAGGAACCTTTTTCTTTCACAGATTATCTGTCTCATTAACTACATCCTGACTGTAGTACAAGTTTCAGTAAATATGACTTAAAAATGAATTAAAACTGGTAGGAAACCATTCTTTGTTGCCATCAACAGTTCATACAATATATTTATTGAATTTGACACTCTTTAAAACAAATTCAATTAAAAGCATTATATTTTTATTTGCCTTTTTCTTTTTATGTATTCCTTTCTTTTAAATCTCTTTTATGTTTATTTCTGTTAGTACATGTTAGTTTCCTGTAAATTGTAAACTGTCTTTATTATGAGCAATAAAGAAAAAAAAACACCTCTCCTCCTCCTGTGTGTGGTTATAATGCTATAATCTGTGCTCTGTAGTTTATAACTGTACTTGTACATGAATTTAACGTGGCACAAATACCCAGATAGCTCCTCACTATTACAGTGCATTCAGTGAAACTACATCTCATCTTTTTTTAAATGTTTTCATTTACTTTCATCACTGTATACTAAGTCTTCATGCAAGCCATTTGTTGTTCTTATTTTCTACATCGTGTTGATAGAAGTTGTCGACAGAGACCTTTTACACAGCAGCGATTTTGACATGAAAAAACAGTCTAAACACAGGTGTTATCCATGATTTTAATTACAATTAAAATAATTAATTAAGGCTGTTCGACCAGAATGGAACAGAGCCTTAATTAGTATTATTGGTAACACCTGTTTACCCTACTATTTCATTTCAAAGTGGCTCCTGTGAAAAAGGTTTGTTTGATAGAATCTCGTAATTGTTTGAGTTTTCAATCATTTCACATGATCAGCAGACGATTGACAACTTAGTTACTGAACTCCTTAGTCCTCCTTGTTACTTCAAAGCACAACATGCTTTACACAACATCCTGTACCATCATGCCAATAAAGCAACTATAAATCTGAGTTATATTTCAACTTGTTCTTACCTCCGTTATGAAGTGGCATTACCACAGTTTATAGTACTCTATTTTGCCGGTTCTTAGCAACATAACTCATCCTCACTTTCATTTCAGTGTATAATTTAGCAATCTGCCTACAGGCATTATGCAACATTTTACTGAAACTGTTAGATAAAATAGGAACAGTGAAAACTGCAAAAAAAAACACACATTTTTAATATGATTCAGATTTAATGAGTTTAACAGAAACAAAACATTTTTTTCCATATTACAAAAAAAGCAATACCAGGTGTTTTACCACACCAGGAGCGTGTTCTCATAGTTCAGAAGACCAAAGACGCAAACATCATCTCTGTACGATAATAACAGTCTTTATGAGTGCCACTTGTGATGGTGAGGCCAAATCTCAAATGACACTATTCCCCATATAGACACCTACTTTTAGCCTGAGACCCACATAGAGCTGTGACTGTGGGCAGAAAGTAGATCAGTATCCAGATGAAGATGGTGTGATTTATAAGAAGACCTTAAAAGAAGTACGCTTATTTCTTCTTCTTCTCATCTTTCTTGGCACCATCTGCTTTCTCCTTCTCTTTGTCTTTGTCCTTGTCATCTTTTTTCTCCTTGTCATCCTTCTTCTCTTTCTTGCCCTCCTCCTTTTCCTGTCCTTCCTTCTTTTCTGCGTCTCGGTTGGAAATCTTGTTGTTGATGAGGTTGTGCAGAGCCACCACAGAGCGAATGAGCGAGGCCAGGTAGACCACCAGCATCTGGTCGTTGGTCTTAAGGTAGAAGGCTTTTGTGAACTCCTGCAAAGATAAAAGACACGATATTCAGCATCACAAAACCGTGTCTAAAACAAAACACACATCAGATTCGTATCGTATGGAATGATGTGAATGAAATATTTGACCAAAATGTGAAAAGAAAAAATTAAAAAACAATAAAAGATGAGCCACGGATCAAACAGAGCTGGATCGTTATCAAGATATGACACAAGAAGGTATTCATCTATAAAG